TAGATGATCATTTGAATTAGTTATCAATTACTAAGCAAGGCTAACCCTTGACTTAATTTAATACTGGTTAAGTTTGGATTCATTTTCGTAAGTTCTATTCGAACCTTGAAATTTACTAGTCTGGAAAACTTTTAAGGCTATCCAATCATTACAAGTCTAATTTTTCCAAGTTTGGGAAAAAAAGAAAGCCAAAAAAATCTTAGTATAATTTTTACCTTAACCATCTGATTGTGTGGCTCAAAGCACATATTGGTAATTTCTGATACTGACAACTGTTCATGATAGGCTTTTTCGGCAGAAATAACAGGTGCGAATGTCGCCAAAGGGAAATGAATTCGTGGATATGGTACAAGATTTGTCTGGAGTAATATATTAATCAGTTTTTTAAAATGAACTATTTCGAGAAAAAATACCAAAATATTTTAACTGAAGAGGAGAAATCGAGGAAATAAAAAATTAAACTTCAAAATATTTCCAAGAAGAAAAAGAAAAGGTTCATGACGTTTTTATCGAATTATACAAGTTTTATGAGAAATTAAAAGATGAATACCTGAAATTCGGTAAGGTCAACATTTAAAGCACCATCAAAACGTAGAGATGCGGTGATTGATGAGACAATTTGTCCAATTAAACGATTCAAATTTGTATATGATGGACGCTCGATGTCGAGATTTCTGTAAGATTTTAAAAACCATGTGTCAATTAAATTGAATCTAAATTAAATTCCAGTTATCACTTAGTGAAAAGATGCATCTCCCAATAAAATTATCGATGGTAAACATCGAATATTCCCTTACAAGTGGTAACTTCAATAAAGTTTTTCTTTTTTAATTAAAATGCAAAATTAATTTGCCTGCGACAGATATCATAAATGGCTTCATTGTCAACCATGAAGGAGCAATCGGAATGTTCCAAGGTGGTATGTGTTGTAAGGATCGAGTTGTATGGTTCAACGACTGCTGTCGAAACCTGCAACAAGTGTTTTAAAAATTTGTTTTTCTTTTCGTAAAATTGTTAATTTTTGGTAATTAGTCATAGATATTGTAAGGTATGTTTTTAATCAAAAGTTTGAGGGGTTTAATTAAAAATGAAGACTTTGAAATTCAACTGCAAATTCCAATTAATAAACTTATAATGAAAGGAAAAAATATATTCGTAATACAAGGTTTTTTTCGTTTCAATTTACAAAAATCTTCCATTTTTTCCTGTTTTCAAGCCGTAAAAGAGGATGTTAGCACACCTGTGGTGCAGGATAAACACTAAATTCCAGTTTGGCTTTTTTACCATAATCAACCGATAAACGTTCCATAAGTAATGATGTAAAACCGGAACCGGTACCACCACCAAATGAATGGAAAACCAAAAAACCTGAAGGTATAAAAATGGATTTAGTGTTGGAAAACTGTTTCACTACTTCCAAAAAAAAAAAAAAAAAACTAAAGTGAAAGAAAACGAAACAACCTACTTGAATATGCTTAATTAAAATAATAAACGAAAAAAAAGAAGAAAACTAGAAGTAACCTTGCAATCCGGTACAATTTTCCGATAGGCGCCGAATTCGATCCAATGTAAGATCGATAATCTCTTTGCCAATTGTATAATGTCCCCGAGCATAATTATTGGCCGCATCCTCTTTGCCCGTAATTAATTGTTCGGGATGAAACAGTGAACGGTAGGTTCCGGTTCGAATTTCATCTAAAAATCGATTACTCAATGAAATTAATCTAAAGCTTGAAATACATAATTTAAGTGAATATCATTTCACTCATATAACATATACATTAGTATAAGGATGCTAAATTTTCCCATTGTCAACAATTAGAATTGAACAGGTATTGTTCAATATATTGGCATTAATTACGATTGTTAATTTTTGCATGCAAGTTCTTTTCAGTGGCGGTTTTTTTATGGAATAAATAAAAATTAGAAGGAAGGAATTGTAACAAACATTTCAACTTACTTTATGCTAATTACGTTAATTTATTCAACACTAAACATGTTAGTTTATTCAAAATCATTTGGTCCTTAAGGAAATACTTTAATAATTCGAAAAAGTTTGAAGTTTTTTTAAATAAATGAACTGAATCACTTTTTCCAATTGTAAAAATACAAAGAAAGGAAATTTTTTGCGCTGAAATCTTTTAAAATTGTGAAATTTTCTCTCAAAATTACATGTTCATGAGGAAATTATCATTCTTTTTGTTGCATTTTCTCTTCTTTTTCCTTCATATCTTGGTTCTTTTTTGGAAATTTCTTCAAAATTTAAAGCATTTGCTCTTTTTTGATTTCAGCTTCTTTTCATTCCTCAAATTTCAATAATTGGCAATCCATCATTCTTGATATCACTTCTTTCAAGAATGAATCATGTATATGCAAATCTCAATGGAATTTAACGGAAGTTATGTTTAGCGGATGCTTCAAATTTTCTGATGATAAGTTAGACGGAAAAAATAAAAGGAAAATCGATAATTTGAAAGTTTAATACTTTCGAATACTTTTTTTGGTCATTTCTATTACTAAATTTCAATTATGTTTTGTTGCTATGAATTCGGAATAGAATCGAAGCAAAAAATAAATCTTCTAAAGGATGTTTTACAGTGTTAGCAAATCACTTATTTCAAAATTTCGAATTATCAATTTCAAAAAAAGCACTGACAGATGAAAATTTCAGCTTTCTCCTCTTAAAAATATATATATATACATAAAAATTCAAATTTATGAGCAGTTTTGTCATCTTTTTGAAATAGTTGCAGAAAGGTGCAAAAAGTTAATCATAATTATGGCTGTAACTTCATCACTAAAAAAATCCATAAATTTTATTGATTTTTCATTAACTATTTGTGAAATTCGTTCCATCAAAAAAAAAGAAAAGGAAAATACCAAATTATTGTGCGGAAAAGTAAGGTAAATTCAACCATCTCAGAATAATTATTTTTGTAGGATAATAATAGTAATATTAATAACAATAAATAATAAATAATAATAATAACAATAATAATAATGATAATAATAATAATAATAATAATAATAATGATAATAATAATAATAATAATAATAATAATAATAATAATAAT